TGTACAGCAGAGGTGGAGAAGTTCTCTGAGACCACAGGACAAACTGGGTGATTCACCACAACTAATTCAATCTCCACGAATTACTTTTGGGGCTTTTTCACAGGAAATGTTTGGTGATGTTGATGTAAATAAGAAGTGATAAGAGATTACAGTTCAAGAAAAGATATGTCTTGTTTGAAGTTGTGTGAATAACACTACTCCCATGAGGGTTTTGAGGAAACTTTAAGATTGGACACTTGAGAAACAATTAGACAGTATGTAATGCATTTGAGAATCAGGGCCAGCAGCCTTATCATTTGGGACAATGAGGTGGAAATTTGTTTTTTCATTTTATCAAAGTACTTATAATATGTTGGAAACGCTTACTTTTCCCCCCCCCGTCTCTTTCCACCTCACTTTGTAATTCTAACAGGCACTAGTCATTAAAAAGCAGTCCAAACAAATGGATCAACACTGGTTTTGGTGGGAGTTGGCTTCATTTAGCTTATGTCATTATAGGCACCACAATTTACCCAAACTAATACTAATGTTATCTGGATGGAGCTTGACCACTGTTGCACCTCTTGTTTCTTTGTAGATTTGTGTGTTGACTTTAATGAAACTTTTATAAAGGCCTAGAGTAATTAGGTATCTAGCTCTTAGTGAATCTTAATGAGTAGGATGCCTAATTTGTGTGCATTTCTTATCTAATCCCAGTCTTAGTATATATAAACTAAGCTATTTTTGAAACGTTAAATGATAGGCTTTTTAGCAGTTCTGTTCTGTGTACATATCCTTAGTTGGGAGGGCCATGTATGATGTGTTCTGGTTTATCGCGGTGGCTGTTTTTTTAATTTAGTGAATACTATTGCCAGAGAAAATTGCTTGGTCTCTTTATGTCTGTGGAGATCTTTGAACAGGATTTATTACATACATTAAGGTAGCATTTTCCAATACTTCATGTTCCCCATATACATCTTACAAATTACTTTTTTTTTTAAATAGAAGCATGTTCTTTGACAAAAATCTCTGAATACAATCTGTTTAAGATAATTCCCAATTATGTAAGATTGGGTGAGTTTATCTGCTCTTTAAAAAAGATAATGAAGGGACTTGATCTGATGTAAGGGGTGCTACATTGCCCTCTGGTAGTTACAGTTTTTTACAGGTTCAGCACTTGCTAGCCCATTGAAAAGAATGTAAAAATTTTGAAATTTGCATACAGGACATGTTTAATGTGTATGTAAATGACAGTGTAACTAGTGGAGCTGAGACTGGAGCCAGTTAATTTTTGTGAGAACTGCAAGTTGAATTTGAAATAAAAGTGAATAGAGGGGGAGATTTCAACACCCATTTTAATGCATAGCTGTAGGTTGAAGTCTTTTGTGAAATAGGCTATTTTGGGATACTGTTTACTGATAGTAGTTTTGTAATAGATTGTGTTATGGTTCTGTATAAATTTTTCTGGATACTGGTGGTGGTGCTAGGTTTGACTTGTTAAGTGGGCTGGACTTTCCTTGTAACGTGCAGAGAGAGTCAGCTGAGAGAGTGTCAGCCTTATATTTCACAATGTAATGATTTGTTGTGGTTTTGGTAGTGGGGGAGGGGCTGCAAGAAGCTTCCCTGACTCTGAAACTAGTTGGACCCCACTCTGACCAGGGCTGAGCCAGTCAGTGCCTCTGCGAATGCCATGTTCGCAGTTCTCAAGTTCACAGTTCCCCAAGAAGGGAACAAAGGAACCTGAGCCAGCCAAGACCTGCAGAGGAGAGAGGAGGGAGGTGGGGGGCTGCCTCCCCCCAGCCCAGCAGCTGCCCACACTGAGCCTCTGCCACTTGGCTGGAGATGGCCGTGGCATCACGGCTTGGAGAGCTCCCAAGCGCCCTGCTCCCGTGGCGCCTGCTGGGCAGAGTTTCTTCCTGCCAGGACCAGGTCAGAGGACTGATATGTGAGAGAAACAGCTCTGCAGACACCAAGGCTAGTGAAAATGGAGCAGGAGGAAGTGTGCTGGAGCTGAGATTCCCCTGCAGCCCGTGGTGAGGTGGCAGGCAGCCCCTCTGCAGCTCTTGAGAGAAATGGTGGAGCAGTCTGTGGAGAGGACCCCCCGTTCTGCTGGAGACTGATGGTGAAACAGAGCTACATCTGCAGTCTGTGGGAAGGAACTCCATGTCGGAGCGGGTGACTGCACCTTAAGAAGCAGTGACTCTGTGGGAAAAGCCTGTGCTGGAGCAATCTGATGGGTAAGGATTGTATTCTGCGGGAAGGACTCACGTTGGAGAAGTTCTTGGAGGACTGTCATCTGTGAGGAGAGCCGTGTGTTGGAGCAGGGGAAGAATGTGAGGAGTCCTCCCCCTGAGGAGGAAGGAGCAGCAGAAATGACGTGTGATGAGCTGACTGCAACCCCCATTCCCTGTCTCTCTGTGCTGTTGAGGGGAGGAGGTAGAGCCGGGAAGAAGGGAGGGGTGGGGAAAGGTGTTTTTAAGATCTGGCTTTATTTCTTGTTATCCTCTCTGAAGTAACTGAAAATGAACTTAATTGATTTGTGCCCAGGGGAGTGGTTGGTGGGTGATCTCTCCCTGTTCTTACCTCGACCCTCAAGCCTTTTGTTACATTTTTCTGCTCTCCACCCCACTGGGGGCTGTGGGAGGGGTGAGGGTGGAGATGGAAGCAGAGTGAGTGAGTAAGAGAGCGAGCAGCTGTGTGGTAGCTGAGCTGCCAGGTGGGCTAAACTGTGACACGATGGACTTGTACAAAAACTCTTTGTTGTGTGGAAATGTCTGTTGTCCTTCATACAGCCAAACTTATAGGAAGTTTGGCTGTATAGCCTCTTACAGGAAGCTATGACATGGTGTGTGCAGTTGTGAACACTTGATAACTTGGTTCCTTTTCTGGTAATGTCGTGGGGGCTATAGGGGACTAATTAGTGACTAGTGTTTTGTTTTGAACAGAGAAGCTTTACAGGCATCTCCCTGTTTTACTTTGCAAGGAAATAGGATCCCAAGGGAGCTTATTTCAGGTGAGGATATTTTATTTTAATGAGTTAAGTGTTGTTCTGATTTGTTGCCTTTAATCAGAAGAGAGAAATAGCTGTTAAAACATAACAAAAGGGAATTTATAAGCAAAAGCTGTTAGGCTAGGGTTGATCCTAAGTTCTATTAGGTAACTGGGGGTAAATAAGTGAAAATGGTCTCATGTTGTAGTATTTTCTGTGTGGGTGCTGGTAAGTAAGACTTGCTGGTAAAAGAAGACAGGTGATGAGTTGTGTAAGCTTTGAATTCCCTAATTGCTAGCAGTAAACACCAATCCACTTTTTTTCTGACATGTCTTGCAAATGGGCGTAGTTTCTGCTTTGTTGAGAACCTTGGGAGGGTACTTTGTTTTTCTTGAATCTCTGTTTCTTAATTTGACTACAAGCCAGGGTGTTTGTGGTGTTACAGTGCAGCTTTAATAAGCAGTGTTATAACAGGGTTACACCACTTACTCATGTTAGCAAGTAGTTACTGCGAACTATGGATAGTGATAAACCATATGTGGAAGCTGGAATGCTCTTCTGTGATAAATTCTGAGAGACTGGGACAGGGAGTTGTCTTAGGCCTAGTGATGCACCATTACGTTGTAATTACCTTGTAGTGTACCAAATTAGAATGCTTTTTAATAAGACTCATTTTTCATTTCATTGGCTTTATTATTTCGGGACAAGTAATCATAGGCAGGTAACCTTACTATAAAACTGCACTCAAAGTAAACGCAAGGAGCAGGCTAAGCCCATCGAATGGTCAGCTTCTGCTGAAAGTGGTGATCCTACTTGTTCCTTGTGCTGGCGCTGGGACTCATCTGTCCTTTCAGAAAGTCAGTTTGGTAACCTGAATCACTGGATGGTTTTGTGGTTTTGTTTTGTTTTGGTCTGTTTTTTTTTTTTTTTTTTTCAGTATAAGGTTACTTTTCTGCTGGCTTAACTACTCAAATAATAAGGTCACTGCATGATCAAACACATGAAAATAGTGCTGTTGGGAGTGGGGAATAACAAGAAACATGACTGATCTCATTGACAGCAACTGACAATCAGTTTTGTAAAAATATGCCAGCTGTGTCACTGTGATAGAATACTCTGACATTAGTAAATAAAAAGTTCCCAATATTAGACATTGATAAAAGTTCTTAGAAAACTGAAGAATGATACAAGTTCTCAGAAAACTGAAGAATGTTTCAGGCCTGTAGCCTCTATCAATTTGTTCTGCTAAAAACATGGAAATAAAAATATAGAAATAGTTGGGTTTTTTTTCAGCCTGTAAAAGCCTGTCATTTTTTTCTCAGGACACTTACTGTTTTATAAGCCACTTAAGCTGCACTCTTCTGGTTTGTCACATGGGCAGAACCCCTCAAGTGGATTATAACTCTTCAGTCCATAGTAATTGTCTTTTCTATTGTTGTTCATTTGATATTATGATTGCATACAGAGATAACCAGAGAGGTCCTACCTACATTGTTATCTAACTTAAAAAAAAAAGTCAGAAAACAGTCTTAATAATCCTTTAAATACTTGTTTTACTGCATCACCATGAGTTTTGTAAGAATGAGTTTAAGTGCAGTCACATCTGATGAGGGAGAGATTTTTGAACGCACACATGTTTCAGAGGTGCCCAGCTATCTTCCCTGCCTTTAGTAGTGCTGTGCTTGACCACACCTGATGCGTCTGATGATGGCAAGTCAGTTAACCATTGTACCATTGTATCTGGTAGATGTTTCTCATAGTGTACCAATTGTTTTGTTCTGTGAGTAACATAAACATCCAGAAATCGACTGAACTGTCAAGCTCATTATCTTTCTAGTGGGCTTTTAGAACTATGGTGAAACTAACGTGCAACATTAAGGATCATTTAAGCATATTCTGCTGATGACAGCTTGCATGTGTATGTGTGTGTGTGTAATGATTGTTAGTAGATTTTATTACATTTCTTTCAATGCCCCTAATGTCACATAGAAATTCTGTTTTTCTTTTTGTTTTGTTTTGTTTTTGTTACTAGAGCTATTCTACTAATTGAAAAGGAGACAGAAAATAGATGTCCACGCCTACAGACCCTGGCGCCATGCCTCATCCTGGTCCTTCCCCTGGACCAGGACCTTCACCTGGACCGATTCTAGGACCTAGCCCAGGACCAGGGCCATCTCCTGGCTCAGTTCACAGCATGATGGGGCCAAGTCCTGGTCCGCCCAGTGTCCCACATCCAATGCCGACAATGGGGCCTACTGATTATCCACAGGAAGGCATGCACCAAATGCATAAGGTAATAGTGTACTACAAATGAACCTTTTTTCGGTAGAGTTCTCTCCACTGATTAAAAAACTATTTACACTACATTTAGACCTGCATAACTACTATTACATGCCGTGTATCACCTGGAAAACTGCAGCTACACTCATACTTCTTATTACTGAAGATACTGCATATATCTGATTAACGACAGTTTCCTTGTTCTTAGCAGACTACTTTGAACTATAGAGTTAGTAGTTTGCAAATCTTCATTTGTAAACTGTACTTTTCAGTAAGATTGACATTTCTAGGGGAAAAAAAAGAATTATAGTGCAAAAACCTTATGATAGACCATTCTAACCACCTTTTTTTTTTCTTTTTTTTCCTTCTTGTCTGTTTAGACATGTCTTGCGTTTTTCTGAGGTTGTTTTTAGTTTTGCGTGAATTTATTTTTTTAAGTTAATATTTTTAACTCTTAAAGGGCTTGTCCTTACAGATTTTTTTACTCTTCCATGTTGATGAAAAACCTGGTTTCCAAGTTATTTTATAAAGGCTTCATCTTAATAAGGAATTTAAAACTATGTAGTGTAGCACATATGAATAATTTGACTTCAGTGGTTGTTGTCATACTCTTAAAATAACATGTGTGCTTTGACTACCATTAATGTCTTTTGCTTTGAGGTAATATTTACTTGTGTGGAATTACCTTTGTGTGAACAGTCTCTTTATGTATTGTAATTTTTATTTGGTTACGTACCAGAGATTTAGAACTTAGGATAATTTCAGTTTCACTGATGTTCTAGTCTCAGAAATATGCAGTAGCAGCTTACAGAGCCAAGACATTGAAAACCTTTTGGTAACTATTGTGGATTCCACTTGGAATTGTTATATGCACATAGAAGAAGAAATAAATTCACAATTGAAATTTATTTTTAAAGTAATATAAACATATTTTAGTTTTCCTCATGAATTGGCAACTTCTTCATGTTGCCATTTGCACATACCAATCAGTTTCATTCATTAAAACAGTTGAAACAATGTCCATTCAGTAGGCACAGAACACTACCATCTTTTGCGTGAAGAACTGTATCATTAAGTTTTCTAATAGCATAAAGACAGCTGAAGTGAAGGAGGCCATGCTGCCCGTTTGTGCTGAACTGTTGTGATTTCTGAGATGTCACTATGTTCAGTAACCAAAACTTTTGCATTGAATCTTGAAAGATGTAATTAAGCTATTAGCCAGATTAGACAATTTGCAATTGGCATTTCCTTGTTTGTGCAGTCGGTTACAGACCAAGCTTCCTGTACTCTGCTGAATGCCCAAACATCACAGACAGCCAGGGTTTTTACATTCTTCAGTTCTCTCGTTTCTTTGTGTTTGTAAGAGATTCTGTACTTGCAGAAAAAGCGGGCCACACCAGGAATTTTCCATTAGAATGGTTTAATGCTCTATACATTATGTTTTTAACTGCTATATCCTGTTTCACCTTGTGTGTTCTTCGGATATTTAATGCTATGTTACCATTAGAAACAAACCAACAAATGTCGTCCCACAAGTGTTTCAGTGACTTGAGAAGCATCTCAGAAGTCCTGTGAGCCAGAGTAGAAATTCTCCCACTGAGGTGGCAATGAAATGTTTTGAAAAATGCACATGGATGTGAAGAGTCTGGATAGCTAATTCAGAGATGACCAGTCAGTATAGTTATAGTAAAATTACTTTTCTGTACCTTAATTCTAATAATGGAACAAAGGCTGTAATTTCACAAGTCTTTTTTTAGTAGCAACAACCTTGCAGTCCTCTTCGTTGCCACTTCACAAGCTCCAGCATGACTTTGTGTGTGTATGGCTAAGCTAGAAAATTGATCTGTTGAACTGATCTAGGTGGCAAAAAAAAATTTCTTGGTTAATTTTTCAGTCTAGATGGGTTTTCTGGTCTCTTTTCCTGTGGAACCCCAGAAATCATGGAATCATGGAATGGTTTAAGTTGGAAGAGACCTTAAAGATGATTTAGTTCCAACATGCCTGCCATGGGCAGGGACACCTTCCCCTAGGTGACGTTGCCCAACATCCCATCCAACCTGGCCTTGAGCACTTCCAGAGATGGGGCATCCACGACTTCTTTTGGCAGCCTGTTCCAGTGCCTAACCACCCTCACAGTGAACAATTTCTTCCTCAGATCTAATCTAAATATACCCTCTTTCAGTTTAAGTCCATTACCCCTGGTTCTGTCACTCCATGCCCTTGTAAAAATTCCCTCTCCAGCTTTCTTGGAGGCCCTCTTTAGGTCGTGGAAGGCTGCCAGGAGGTGTCCCTGAAGCCTTCTCTTCTCCTGGCTGAACAACCCCAACTCTCTCATCATTTCCTCACAGGAGAGGTGCTCCAGCCCTCTGATCGTTTTTGTGGCCCTCCTCTGGACTTGCCCCAACAGGTCCATGTCCTTCTTCTGTTGGGGGCCCCAGAGCTGAACGTTGTACTCCAGGTGAGGTCTCATGAGAGCAGAGGAGGAGAATCACCTCTGGAGCTTGACCTGCTGGCCATGCTTCTTTGGATGCAGCCCAGGACACAGTTGGCTTTCTGGACTGCCAGCGCACATTGCCGGCTTATGTTGACCTTCTCATCAGCCAGCACTCGCAAATCCTTCTCCTCAGGACTGCTCTCAATCCATTTTCCACTCAGTGTGTACTTGTGCTTGGGACTGCCCGAACCCATGTGCAGGACCTTGCACTTGGCCTTGTTGAACTTCATGAGCTTCTCACAGGTCCACCTCTCCAGCCTGTCAAAGTCCCTCTGGATGGCATCCCTTCCCTCCAGCATGTTGACCACACCACACAGTTTGATCTCTTCAGCAAACTTGCTGATGATGCACTTGATCTCTCTGTCTGTGTCGTCGACAAAGATGTTAAACAGCATCGGCCCCAGTACTGACCCCTGAGGAATGCCACTCGTCACTGGTCTCCAGTTGAACATCAAGTCATTGACCACAACTCTTTGAGTGCGACCATCCAGCCAGTTTCTTATCCACTGAATGGTCCATCCATCAAATCCATGTCTCCCCAATTTAGAGACAAGGATGTCGTGTGGTACATGTTTGAGTTGGTCCAGACACTGCCTGTTCATCCATGCAGGCGTCCTGATCTTCCTGCCTGACTTCCTCTTTGTTGGGATGCATCGCTCCTGAGCTTGCAGGTGATCTTGAATATTAACCTGCTTTCTTGGGCTCCTCTTCCCTCCAGGGTTTTATCTCATAGTGCTCTTGAAGCAGATCCATGAACAGGCCAAAGTATGCTCTCCTGAAGTCCCGGGTAATGTACTGTGACAACTGAGGGAAGATTCTGTTTAAGAAGTGCTGTGGAAGGGTGCCTCTAGACTATTTCACAGATACTACTTGAGTGTTGTTCCATGTAATTAAAAAACTGGTCAGTCACCTGCAGTTTGATGAACTAATCGCTTTCTTTCTGCTCAGTGCTATGTAAAGCAGTTGATCTTTCAACTCATAATGTAACGTAGCACTTTTTTTTTTCCTAATGAAATGCAGTGGGAGTGTGAGATTGCACAAAAAGTGTCCCAGTTACGCAATTGCTTGTGGGGTACACATCCCTCGTGTACAATGGATGTGGTTCTTACTTTTAAAATTCACAAACTAAGTTGAGAAATAGCTTCATTGTATGTTAGATGTTTGACTAGCTTGCAAAGAATGATATAATGCATAAAAAATTAAAAAAAAAATCCAAAGTATCCAACAATAAAGAAAATACTGATTGTTACAAATGGATATTTATAGATCATAATTCCTAAAGTGTGTTTACTTAACAACAGTTAATATGAAATTAAAGACTCTATATTCACTTAGTAACCAGAAAACCCTTCCACGGGAAAATTTACTATTGATTTACATAACACAGTTTTGACAGAAACCATAAATTAACTGTCTTTCCTGCTACTTTCTTAAGTAATCTTTAGAGTATCGATCAAATTGCTAGGGAAGTACTTAGAGTTCCAAATGTTGCTGAAGTATATCTTTCACGGAAGACAGCTACATTTAAGGAGCAATACTTAGAAGTGTGTTTGGTGGGGGGACTGCTAAATGGACAAACTATAACAGCATTAGAGAATCTTTTCAGATGTAAATACTTGGAAATTGGGAAGATATTAAAGGAAAGCATTGTTACATCATTGCCCTAATCTTACTTTTCCTCAGTATCTGCATACCAGCTCCTCTGGAGGCAGAACGTACAGTTAGGTGGCTTTAATCTGAACTGATAGAGCTTTCTGTATGCTCTTATGCACCAGCTGGCCACATGATTTTAACTGCTTAACTCTTGGTTGTGAAAACAGTGTATTTATTTAATTTGTGTGGTTCTCACTTGAGGGGTGGGAAGAGCACTGTGAGCTCTTCGTTTATGTTCTCTTCCATTTAATCATAACCTGGTGCATAATCACTTTTGTGAATTCGTAATGGGGTGTACTGTAAATTATTATTGGTTCTGGAAAAATTATGACTATGTCATAGGCAACATGGCTGGTTTCAGTGAGTGAGAGAAAAAGAGAATGACAGAAAAAATATTTTGCTGCAGAAATGGTATTTTTTATTAAATATATTATTTGTTCACTCAGATGTTCCATTAAAACAGAAGGCACATGGTTTCCTATTTCAAGTATTGTTGGCTAATAGGTTTGTGCACATCAGATATTCTGAGAATGTTAAAATTCTGTCACGGTCCTGGAAGTAACACCTTTTTTGTTCAGCAGGCATGTTCCGTGCATTATTGTTATTGTATGTGTGAAAAAAGAAAGGTTGTTGTCAACCTCGTAGAATCAGCAGAGATCTTGTGTAAAATGGTGTTTTAGTTATAAGAGATTAACAGAATTGTTGACTAAGTCCCTCTTCAAGGACAACCACAGTCAGTCTGGTTGTCCATCAGTTATGCTGTGCAGTCATGTGACAACACTTTGCTGTTTGGTCAGTGAGATTTTTGTTGGTATAAAGGATGCATTGGTCTAGAAGAAATCTAGTTTGATACTTGATCTTACTCTCTGATTTCAAGGGCAGTGTTTTGTTTGTTTGTTTGTTTAAGGAGGGGAAAGGAAACAAAAAAAGACACCATAATCTGACAGTTTACCTGGAAATAGGTCAAACTATGATGCAATGCTGTCTGTGAAAAGACCGTAGTTACTAAATCCAGAGTAAAAGCAGTGTAGGCAAAATGTTCCTTATGTCTTAGGCATTATGTAAAGTCTGTAAGTCTGCCAAGTCTGTAAGTGTGGGCTTGCATGCAGTTGAAGCTCATCCCTCATTATGTTTTCTGGAGGCACTGTTTATGTATCTGGCCAGTTCTGTGCTGCTTCTTCCTTACTGGGACCAATGAAAACAGTAATGTTGAATTCAAAGTTGAATATGTCTCAACTTCCTGTTTCCCTTCTTTTCTGTCATATTAAAAGAATAAATAAAAAAAAATACCCTAATTTACTAGTGCCTTATTGGTAGTATAGATTACATTTCTCATGCCAACAATGTCATTGTAGAATTTATACAGGACTGAAGAATTGACGGAAATTTTATTGTGTGTGAGATCCTTTCTGTAATTTTTAACTTGTTATATAGATTTAAAGTTATCATCTAACTCTGTAACTACACAGTGATTCAAAGAAGTTGCAAAAAATAACTATATTTCAGTTCTTGTAGTCCTCTGTTGAATTGTCTCCCGTATTTTACAGAGTTTTTCTGTAGACAGTAGAGGTGAATTTAGATGAAAAATATTCTTGGAAATAACAAGTCTCTTTGCATAAATCAGCAATACTGTGATCATTAAAATGAATTTTGTCTTCAAAGAAGTGTATGCCATCTTCTTTTTTTGTAGCTTTGCTAGTAAAAAACTGATTAATGAGTTCTACCTTTGCTAATCAATTTCTAATGAATTTCACATTCATTTTTTTCACAGCATAGTTTATGCAAACACACAGAAACAGACTCCTTTCTTGCTATATTTAGGCTTCCTTCCATTAAACTTGAAGCGTTTTGATTTGATACACGTTTTGTGTTGGTTTTTTTTTGAAATACTTATCTTACAAAAACCTGTTCTTTTGATCAATTCTTTCCACAGGTGCATTCCTTTGATTGATGTTTTCTTGTGTGATCACATCTTTACCTTTCTGTTCCTGTTTGATTTTTTTAAAAATTCTGTTTTTGAAAGGCCACATATTTGTTTTCCTGTACACTGCATCTTTGTTAATGCCAGCTCCTTTCCCTATATTCTGTATGCTGGTGCTTCTGATGCCCGGGGTATGCGTGCTGTGTCCCATCTTTGTCCCGCCAGAGCTGCCTGCATTCACAGAGGTTTTGTGGTTGCAACCCATTAGTGCAATGACACCCATCCCTGCAGTCACACCACAGATGTGTCCTCTGTTCAGGAAAACAGATCCAGTTTCCTGCACAGACTCCTCCTCCTTCTCTTGGTGGCCCTAAAGGTTTAGTCCTTGACCCATACCATGATAAAATAGGAATGGATCCAGCTTTACGGGTGTTTTGGTTTCTGTAGTATTCGTCTCTTGCAGGCAGAATGTGAACTGAGCGTTCTTTTCCACTTTGGTTGTCTTTGTTAGTACGGGCGAACAGAGGGAGGGATCTTCATGCCTCGGGAAAGGGCATTGGGATTTACTTGGTCAGCACAGTGGAACTATTTTTAAAGTGTTAGTCATCTATCTCTATATTTCTACTTCATATCCCAAGTTCTTGTAATCAAAAATATCTTCTAGAGTAACAGGTATTTTTCTGATACAATTTCTTTTCACGAATTTTTTTATACTGTCATGACAACTAAACGATTTGATGAGCCATAAACAAATTCATTTTACTTCTTCTTTTCTCTAACTTTTCTCCTTTTAACTGATAGTTTCTAATAAGGAAAAATGATCATGAAATCCTTCAAAACTGCTGATAAACAAAAAAAAACACAACCCAACATGTGTTTAAAGACACTTTCAATCAAATCTGATCATTGCAATGGAAAATTTGTGTGAAGGGTTTACAAATTAAAATTTAGCATCTATTTTTCCTTTCTACAAAGGATGACCTATGTTGAGTTCTGCTTAAATTATTCATGTGCAATGAATTGCTCAGAAAGAAGAAATCTGACAGAGTCCTTTTTTGTGTGACTTGGTGCAGCTTCTTGCATGCTCTTTTTGTTCACTGCCTGTGTTTTCCACTGGAGTAAGTTTTCTTAACTCTCTTTTTAAAAATAATTCTCAATAAGTAGGTATGAATTTAGATAACACAGACTGCAACATCTCCATTCACGGTAGGATTTGCAAGAACAGCATTTATTGTGCATGCATGCCTGTGTTACGGAGAGGGGCAGAGCTTCTTATTTCTGTAGAGAGAAGATAAGTGATGCCAGCCTGTTCCTGCCTAATACAAAGCCTTGCAGAGCTCTAAGTTAGAAATTAATGAGCATAATTGCTTCCTTAGTTAGGGACTTGATGTAATTTTTGCTTTCAGGTAAAACTTTTTAGTTTTCTGAAAACATCTTCTTTCTGATGTTATTTTTCACCTGTTTTCACTTTGAGTCGTTCAGTTTTTATTATGGAGCCTTTTCCAGTGCCCTGCATGCCTTCACTGTGTTTTTCTGATCCCAAGCTGTCTTCTCTTCACTCTCTGAAGAAGGCATTTGGTCCTGTTTTGCATTTCAAGTACCATGGGAACGATAGTTTTTGAGGAGTGAATGAGGTGACAGGAACTGTGGGGAGCACAAGTATTTGAGTAGAACTATGTCTTCCCTTCCTGGCTGCCGATCCCTGGTTTTGCCTGCAAAGAAGAGGTTGCCTCCTGCAATGTCATCTTTGTTTTTGAAGAGAAACAGTGTTTGGGATGTTTCAGTAGAGCAGTGACTGAAAGGGCAAAGTTTGGGCTAAAAATAACTTGAGCCAAGCCACAGGCTGTACTTTCATAAGTTGGTGTGTGTTACACTGCTTTGTAATATGAGGCCAGTACAGTTCATGTGTTTGTATTTGGACAGTTTCCCTCCCTGGCATTGCCAAATGGTTATAAGGAGGGGTCAAAAACAAAAACGAAAAAAAACAGTCCAAATGCAAAAAGGAAACAGAGGGGACAATCTAATGATGCTCTGTGCTTCCCCAAATGTCTGATGCCAGGGGTAAAGGTTTCCGTCATATTTACTTTGAATGACTGCTAAGGGAAGTTTGTACTCTTTATGTATTTGTTTAGATTTTTGAGTTAAAGTCCTTTAGATTTTTACAGTGGATTTATATACCATGTCTATATAAATACTTATTTTGTTTTCACAGTCTATTGATGGCTTGCATGAAAAAGGAATGGTTGAAGACGTTCATTGTGGCTCCATGAAGAGTATGCGACCTCCTCACCCTGGAATGGCCCCACCTCAGAGTCCAATGGACCAGCATAGCCAAGGTTTATACATGCTGTGCATGCTGTATGATTCTGGGGCCCCTTTGTTCCACAAAGTCAGTAGTTCCATGTAGCAGATTTTCAATTATTTCCTTCCAGCTTTGTTTGGAAAGACTGAACTGGTATCACAGGACAAGGTGAATAACTAAATCCCCTTGCTTTCTGGAGTGTCCGTCAGTCATGTATTGCAAAAAAGCTAAGGTTCAAGTCTGTGGTTGGGGCAGGTAATTGGACTAAGTCCAATTTCAGTTCACATCTCTAAAAAAAACCTCACCTAGTTCTTTCCTATCTTAGATGGCTAATGTAAATGCATTAGAATATGATTTATTGTAATCCTGTGTTGGTAATCTTACCTTAATGGTAAGAGAGTAGCACCCAAGCAAACCTGGAGAAATATCTATAATGTTTGGTCAAGGGCTGATCAAAGTTCTTTTGAAAATTTTTTATGCCAGACAATAGAAACACTTTCTGCCACATTGCTGCATGCCTTCTTTTTGTCCTTTAGTTTGCAACATAAGACGACATGCATCCTATAAGCATCTCAGTATGTTGGAGATTTAACTGGTAACACCTGTTAGTATCAATTAGTTCAGCAGAGAAGGCTTTGTATGTTGCATAATTAATTATATTACAGCAACACCTGAAGAATCTCAACTGAAATTAGGTTCTTAGTTTGACAAGTCGGTACAAATCTTAGTAGGTCTGTACAAATCTATTAAGGGATGGTCCATATTTGATGTATTTGTGTGCTTATTATGTAGGATAAGAGAAATGCTGGAAGGAGAAACAGGTATAGATCAGCAAAGTGACTCAGCCTGAACTGCCTTGTGACTTTTCAGTGGGTTGTGACTGAAACACTAGTCTGTAATTCATCAGCTGAATCCCTGAGTGGGACCTTAAACATTAGAAAGTACTGTTTTTCCTTTACACCTTTCATTAGCAGTTAAGTGAAATAGAACTGACTTTGCAGGAAAAAATTATCCATCAGTTAAAACTTTTCCAATAATTTCAATGAGATGCAAGCGTGATCATCTGAGAGCAAAATTTTGCCTGACTTTGCATTCAGAGACACTCTTTTGCTTGTAATGAACTTGTTTCTTAAAATGAACATCTGAAGATGAAGATGGATCCAATTCAAACACAACATGCTCAAAATACAAGAGCATAAGTTGCGAAGGCTTCAAATAGAAGTAGCTCTGAGTTGTGTTCTTCTTTCCTGTGCTGGCTGAAATCAGACTTCCAGGTTGTGTTGCTCTGCAAAATAATGACTGTATTGGTAGCAGGTGTTTCAGACTAAAGACTACAGATCACTGCTCTCTTTTTGGTGTATGTCAGCAACTGTTGCAACGTAAACAGAAAATACTGGACTTACAATGTAAGCAGGCTTTTTAAAGAAATGGTTAAAAAACAACTCCCATGCATTCTAGTATTTTAAATACTGTACTTGACATTATCAAGGAGTGTTTTAGCTTTCTTTGCCTCTATGTCTCCTTTTTTTCTTCTTACACAATTATCTTTTCACAAAAAGTGATGGCATTTGAAGCTATTCTGATACGTGTTGGGTAAAGTCCCATCTGCTAACCTTGTACTTTCTCTCCGTTTGTATACATATCCAAGGTAGAAAACCACATTTCTTAAAAGCCTTTCAATCTATTGGATACTTTCAGTCTTATTTACCATGGGATTAGAGTCTTGTAAGACAGTTGTGTTTCTAGAAGTTTTGTGGAAACAGGCAATATGGTAAGAGAGAGTGAGCTTACCCATGCCCACATTCATGGTGAGAGGACGGTATGAGTTCTTTGAGGATCCATGGAAGGATGTATGGTAATCTTCTAATCCTGATAAAATCTTCATTTGCGTTTGGTACATTGTTAGAAACCAAGACTTACTGTAAGGTTCACTTCCTTGTGGATTCTAGGATGTCTGATAGTTAAGCATATGTTGCAGTTGTGTGCAATTTTTGACAACATGTAAGCGAAACAGAAATTGCACCTCATTAGTTCTAGGTCTATTTTTTTCGTGGCTTATTGTTTGTAGGCCTCAAGTTGAAGTAGATAAATATATGCACCAATTAATGTTACTGTTTTTGGATGGTTGGTGGAAAGTAGGTGAAGAAGTTCAAAACCCCAGGGAATGGATGACCCTAAACTTCGGCCATTAGTTTGAAAGCATAAACAGAACGGCCATGTGTCAGTTAAATGTTGTTTAGTCTAGCACTGGTTCTAGGTAAAATCAAAGAACGTTGTATATCTTTTAATTCCATGTGACCTTGTCTATAGTTCAGGCCATTGAGAATACTTTCATGGAAAAACCATAGAATTGTAGCATCATAGTATAGTTTGGGTTGGAAGGGATTTCTAAAGGTCATCTAGTCCAACCTCCCTGCAATGAGTAGCGACACCTTCCATTATATCAGGTTGCTCAAAGCCCCATCCAACCTGGCCTTGAACACTTCCAGAGATGGGGCATCCATGACCTCTTGGCAGCCTGTTCCAGTGCCTAACCACCCTCACAGTGAACAATTTCTTCCTCAGATCTAATCTAAATATGCCCTCTTTCGGTTTAAATTCATTACCTCTGGTTCTGTCACTCCATGCCCTTGTAAAAAGTTCCTCTCCAGCTTTCTTGGAGGCTCTCTTTAGGTCATGGAAGGCTGCCAGGAGGTGTCCCTGGAGTCTTCTCTTCTCCTGGCTGAACAACCCCAACTCTCATCGTTTCCTCACAGGAGAGATGCTCCAGCCCTCTGATCATTTTTGTGGCCCTCCTCTGGACTTGCCCCAACAGGTCCATGTCCTTCTTCTGTTGGGGGCCCCAGAGGTGAACGCAGTACTTCAGGTGATGTCTCATGAAAGCAGAGTAAGCAGAGGGGCAGAATCACCTCTGGAGCTTGACCTGCTGGCCATGCTTCTTTGGATGCAGCCCAGGACACAGTTGGCTTTCTGGACTGCCAGCTCACATTACCGGCTCGTGTTGAGCTTCTTATCAACCTGCACCTGCAAGTCCTTCTCCTCAGGACTGCTCTCAATCCATTTTTCACTCAGTGTGTACTTGTGCTTGGGACTGCCCGAACCCATGTGCAGGACCTTGCACTTGGCCTTATTGAACTTCATGAGGTTCACAGGGGCCCACCTCTTGAGCTTGTCAAGGTCCCTCTGAATGACATAGCCAGTCTTGTCAAGCAAATTTACTATTGTTTTTGTGGGGCTCGTAAGCTAAGTGGATTTATTAAAGTGTAGACAGGTGTGGTACAGTACAGTCATCAGGAAAATGGATCCTGGCATATATATGGAGTTTCTCTATGTGTCATTAAAGCCTGTAGTAGTAATGATAAATGCAGCTTTGTCTGCCTGATGGAGTTATAAGAGGTGCTCGGCTTGTTACTGTACGTCATTCTGATTTAGGAGGAAGATAGAACTAGGTAAAATCAATATAACTTATATTAAATATATTAAGCTAGTTAAATAACAGATTGTAAACCTAACTGTAAATAGAAGATGATCATCCAATTGTGGATTTTTCTAGTTAATCTTGTAGGGCTCTATCGTGTTCAGTGCTGCTCAATGTATTTGTCAGTGATTTGGAAAAAAGCGTAAAATCAGCACTGGTAGAATTTGCAGAGAGCACAGATGTTCAGCAGTAAATAACGAACAAGCTGGTTACAAAGGCCGATCGAGATACTCAGTAGAACTTGCCTACTTCTCGAGCATGGATGTTAACACAGCCGACAGCATTGTGTATCTGGGAGCAAAGTAGTTTACTGCGTAGGTGTTACGAGACTGTATCATACAAAGCAGAAAGACTGTGGAAAGAGTTTTGATTATTCCGACAGACCTAAATGTGTATTGCCATTCAAAGTGTTTGCAATCATGAGATGGAATGTACTACCTGCATACAGAAGCAAGGACACATTAGTTGAGAAGTCGCATCACCTTTTCTAATGAATTCGTTGCAGGCTGTGTTGTAGTATGGTATTCCATTCTAGTATCTACAGTTCAGAAGGATGTTGAGAAATGTTTAAGGTAGCATCAAATGTTTGAACCATCTTTTTTGGTTCAAAAAAGATGAGGCTGAGTGACCTGAAACTGCATAGCCTGAAAAAGAGAAGGCTTGGAAACACCTGATGAGACAGAGTGACCAAGAGGGAGCCAGACTCTTTGGAGTGATCATCAGTGACAGAGGAGCAGACTGTTGGCACGAACTGAAACACATGAAATTGCATGAGAACATAAGAAAACATGCTTCTACTGTAAGCATGGCTGAACAGTATAGTAGGTTGTCCAGGGAGGTTGTCTAGGTGTCTTCCATGGAGATAACCAAAACCCGACTGCACATATGGCTGGGCAGCCTTGCTGTAGCTGACCCTGTTTGAGCAGGAGATTGGGCCTTTTCACTGTTTGAATAGCAGTTACTGCTCTGAGATTTTTTGTGGGTTTTTTTAACTAACTACAATTACTAAAATAAGATATGCACTTTATTATTTAGATTCTGGTTGCTTTTGGTTTTTTTTTTCTTGGTGCTCAGTGAGATGCTAGTTACGCAGAAAGATCTGTTACTAGCTCAGACAGATTGTCGCATTTTTATTGGAGTCATATTGCAATAGGATGATTTCAGAAGTCTGACATTAATTTATGGGGGAAAAGATTCTGAATTGGTATCTTTCTCCTCAAGAGTTACTCCTCTCCACTCTTGCTGCCAAACTGGAGAAAGGGTAACATTTCTGACTATTTCTGGTGATCAATTTTTCTTTTCTTGAACTTATGCACAATGATGTCCCTGTTTAGTGTTAATACCTTTCTTTTAGTGCTGATAGGTTAAATGAAAGGAAAAATCCATTGCTCCAGCTTTGTATTTAGCTGTTTAGATAGTAATCTTACTAGACTTAACTGAATTTGAATAGTGATAGAAACAGCCTTCAGCCTCTGTGAATGAAATGTGCCGAAAAACCCAGTATTGGTATTAGAAGTGTGAATTTTTCTGTAAATTGTTAAACTGCTAAACAGTTATCTAGAAAAAGAAAATCGTGTTTAGATTTGACTTTGTAAGAGGAATGAAGAGAAATTGCGAAGACGAGCCAAATGTTTGTATAAAATAAAATATTCTTTATTAAATTCATAAAAAGATACAAATGGACTGAAACAAACAATTTCGGTGTTTTCCTGGAATTTGGAACAAATTAAATGATGTTACTGGGATACAGCAGTGAAATACTGACCAATTTGAACAGTTTGAGTGTCTTTGCTTGCTACTTGTAAGTGGAAACATAAGCGCTGCAGGGATTTAAGGTTCTGGGACTTGATCTGTGTATATTTTTATATATAAATGCGGTGTTTATTGAACTTCTTATAAAGAGACACCAATTTAGTTTAACTTGTAGAATTCAGCAGGTTACTGCTACTTCACAGACAATGTTCATTGTCCCTACTGTTCTTAAATTAGCCGCACTTCCTTTTGTGATATTTTTCAGCCTTTTAAAGATGAGAAAAGGTCAGTCACCTTATCCATCTGCCTGACAGTGTAAGACCTCTCAACAGTTTATTTCTACAGTCCTAGTTTTAATGACTTGCACACAGGTGGCCTCTCTTTCTCTTTGTTCAGAGTTTCACAAGAACTGAAGTTAACTCTGGACACATTAGTGACAGGGAAATGTTGTATTTTGCTTACCTTAAGAGAGTTTGTAGCCTCGATCCAACATGAATGGATTTTCTACTGTGTGCCAAGACATTATGCTTTCTTACTGTGTGTTGCGGGCATGTACTTGATTCCTTGTTTGTTTGTTTTTTTTTTTAAAATAACTTTAATTGATAGTTGAAGTGATAGTTAACATAAATGAGTTACACAACTAGATTTCTTCAATCCTATCTATATCTTCCCAATCAAAAAATTCTCTTAGAGCCATGTTTTGAGTAAAAATATACCCTTGCTATCAGTTTTAGCAGAAAAATTTGACATATATAATCCTTAGACACTTTCATCATTTCAGCCTTCTTAATTTTTAGTGAGGAGTCAAGACCTTTATTGAATATTACACTGTTTGGAGTAATAAAACCTTGACTCTTTCTGTCTCATATTTGTTACCAGAGTTTAGAATTCATATTTGTTCTCCTCTGTTTAATTATAGCATTAGAAGTGGAGCAAAAAGATCTTTCTGTCTTTAACTCTGTGGTTCTTCAGCTTTAAAACAGATGAGGAAAGTGTTCTTTGCTTCTGTTAACTAAAGTGAAACTAAAAGCAATTAGAGCAGAAACTTTTTATACAGTCTGCCCTCCAGAAGTACTTGTGTTTGGTAAAGTGTAAGAACTAGGATTTCTTCCACTGTCAATACTTGAAAGAATACACATCGTTCATGATGTATTGTGATATATTTCTGTTGAACAAGTTGATACCAAAGTGGGATTAAGAGTGTTGTTAAATATACTTACAGTGAAGAAAGCAGTGCTTTTTAACTACTGAAAACTGGAGAATTTCTGATGTAATCTCTTCTACAACCTGTTTTATCGAGAGGACACAACTAGGCTCTCCTCAGAGGTGCATAGCAAAAGCACAAGAAGTAATGCTCACAAGTTGCGTAAGTGGAGTTTGGATGGGTCTTAAGGGAAATAAAATTCACCGTGAGAGTGATTAAGAATTGTCATCATTGGAGATTTTCAGAACTCACCTAGATAACACCTGGAGAAACCTGATAAAGCATTGTAGTTCCCACATTTTTAAATGACGGGTTGGGCTATTTGGCCTCCCTTGTGTTGGGTGTCTTCTACTCTGTATATTTTTCAGAATTAATGTTATCTGTCATCGTTCACATAGAATCATAGAATGGTTAGGGTTGGAAGGAACCTCAAAGATCATCTAGTTCCAACCCCCTTGCCATGGGCAGGGAAACCCTCCACTACACCAGGTTTCTCAAAGCCTCATCCAACCTGGCCTTGAACACTTCCAGGGATGGGGCAGCCACAACTTCACCAGCACATAAAACTTTTGTGTTGCGAGTGTTTTGCAACCTCACTGTTCAGTGCTTTTGCCATCTTCCATTCTGAAGCTTAGATTAAACTGAATGGTTTATGCAGAATAGAAAACAAAATTTTCTGTGGAAAATCTAGAGGAAGGGGTACTTGGGAGTTCAGCAAGTAACAATTAATGAGCTAGGTATTTAAAAACCTGCTGAATACTTATTGTGGAAATTCATATGTGCCATGGAAAAATGCATTTTAAGTGCGTCATAGCACATGAAAGGATGTTTGCGAAGTTCAAAAGGTGTCTCTCTTTGTCTGTATATTAAACATTCCTACGGACTGTGTCAGATCTTTTTCTTTTATGACATGCTGGTTACTCAATCTTCATGTATCTTCTTGTGTCCTTATTCAGAGCCCTTGTGTGCACGCTCAGCTGTATTAGAGTATATGCAATAAGATAGGTAAAAACCAAGTAAGAGAGAGTCTTCACTCTGGGGCAGGCTTGTGACTATGTTATTGTCACACTGCTAAATCTCAAAGTTTTCAAACTTGAAAATTTCTGTATAGCATCACAAAATTTAGGTTCTGTAAATGCCACATTTTGGAGCCTTTACAAGAAGTTTGGAAGACTTTTATTCTTTCCTGAGATATTTTATTGGAATTTTGTTTTCGTTCTGACTCATCAAGCATGGTTTCCTATTGCCAAGAATCCTAATGCATAGGGCTTTGAGGGAGAGAGAAAGTGTGGATAATACATACCTAGAAAGCTCAAAAAAATGCCTGCTTCTAAAAACTCCCCTCTGCAAAACATAGTCACAGGCTCGCAGCTGGAATTGTCAGGACTGAAAACAAGCGCGCAGTATCTTACACCACAGTTTTACGTTTTTGTACTCCAGATGAGTTTCAAGATCCTAGGTCTGAAATCTCTCAGTGATTAAGGAATACGTAACTTGGACAACATAACTTGAGGGGGAAAGAAACTTTTCTTTGAAAAGCAGTTTTGAAAACAATGTAATTCGAAGTAGATGCCAATTAAAGTAAATTCTGAGATTTAGATATGTAATAGTAATGGATAAACATTGCAATAAACCCTATTTTACAGTATAAAACAATAAAGCAGTTGTATATTTTGATTTTGTTGTGGCATAGTGGTTCTTTTGAAGTAGTGTGCTCAGCAAGAGGGAATTTTAGCTTCCCTCCTTAAAAAAGAAAAAAAAAATTAAAAATTGAGGCAAAAGTAAGTTAGTGGAAGAAGACTAATAAGTGAAGTAAACGTAACGGTTATTTATCATAGCTTTTATCCACCAATGGATGTAGAAACAATTTTTGTTTTGACCTAGGAAGTAACTGCAGTAATTTAATTTTTTAAGGCGTCTTCTTCCTTGAACTCCTCACCTCATTTTCCTATTTTTCTGTTGAACTGCTTAATTTGTCTTATTCTCACTAGAGTCTTCTTCCTTTCCTGCCATCATCTTCTTTAGTTGCAAGATTGAATTCGATCTGCTTCTGTCTTGTCTTATCTGGTCTTTTCCCATCACAAACCCATTTTTTCCCTACTGTACTGCTACCTAATTTTCCTGTTTTAGAAGAGCTGAAATCCTTTCTTCTTTATCCTTTATCTCAGACATTTACAACCTTTACTTTATTATAGAATATTTTCATCCCCAGACCTCAGCATTGATGGACTTTCAATTCTTTAGCACTCTCATCTATCTATTTGTATAAGTTGTGGTGACTTAGAGCTGTTGTTGTCTCAGAAAAGTTGAGACTACTTTGAGATTTTACCTATGTTGCCCTTACTGAAGGGCAAATAAGAACAGTGAAGCTAAAGAGAGGGCAAAATTACTTACTTCTGAGATCTGGACTATGTATAGATGAAATTGATGTAGTTTCACTTTAAAGTGTCAGGCAGAGTGGAGGAAGAGTAGATTTGGTGTCACCGAACCGCGAACTGTGGCATGAACTTTGGAGTTCAGTGATCCATGGCTTGCTACGTGTGTAGAATTGAGCCAGAAGATTTCTTGAGTTTGTTCTTAAAGTATTTTTAGGCTTTTCAAATTGGTAAGAGCGTTATTTGTGATCCACAATACCAGAGTGAAGTGAGTAGATATCATTACTTTTTTTTCACTCTTGGTGGACATCTTTAAAATCTAGCTGTCTGTTGTGCATTACCTGAAGAATTGGTCTTTGTATTTTTTCTCTTGACATGTTACGTATTCTTGGAAGTCTTACCAAAAATTTATGCTGTCTCTTTTCATGGACGCATGGTGAAGCTCAAGGAAATATGTATTAAGTGCAATTAAAATTCAAATTTAAAACCACTGCGTTCACAAGTGCTGTCATAATATACAAGCAGCTTCTTCAGAAGGTGATTTTTCTGCTTGCAGTTGATGTTCCAAGTTCTTGAGCACCCAGATGTTAAAAGGTATTCAGCATTCTTTGTCTGGCTCAAACCTTTAATCTGTATAAATTGGAAGAACAATTGTATAGGAATTTAGTACCATCTTTTTTGATTTTTGTATGTTGGCAAGTTTTGGCAAAGAGGGCATGTATCAGTGAATGGGGGTTCTTGATGTGTGTGCTTCAAAATAAACCTATAATATTAAGCTGTAAAAAAGGCAGACTTCACTGCTTGTGTTCCACAATGAAATATTTGTCTGACATTCTTGTGAAACAGTACCACATCCTGATGCTTCTGTATCGTATTTCATGTTTTAGTTTGTCTTACTCCAAATGTGAGGGTAGTTGTTATTTTTAGGAATTATTGGAACATATAATCGTAGTTCTTCTCAAAGAATAGCTCATGAGGCTATCTTGATGTCCCGGAGAACTTTAGATTGCACTTTTGTTCTTGCAGAAAATACTACAGCTATTCTGACTTGAGACAGACATTTTTTATACTTTATGTACAGTTAAAGAAATTTGATGGAATTTAGATTTGGGTGTGCAGAGAGGTAAGTTTGTGATCCTCTTGTCTGTTCTAGGTTATATGTCTCCGCACCCGTCTCCGCTAGGAGCACCAGAGCATGTGTCCAGTCCAATGTCTGGAGGAGGTCCAACTCCACCTCAGATGACTCCCAGTCAGCCAGGACCCATTATACCAGGAGACCCGCAAGTTATGAACCAGTCTAACAGAGGTCCTTCTCCTTTCAGCCCTGTACAGCTGCATCAGCTGCGGGCTCAGATTCTAGCATACAAAATGTTAGCTAGAGGTCAGCCTTTACCAGAAAACCTTCAGCTTGCTGTTCAGGGTAAGAGGACCCTGCCTGGCATTCAACAGCAGCAGCCTCCCAGTGCCTTCAACAGACAGTCTGGTAAGTGAATCTAGGCCTTGTGTCATTGAACAGGTAATTCCTGAAGTTCCGTCTGTGGAAAATTAAGAAACGGGTGCTGTGCAGGGCTATAACTATTCTGGCGTTTAAGCGAACAGCAGCCTTTGGGTTTAAGCTTGGGCAAGTGCATAAAACACATCTATTATTAATAGATATTGTCAATACTGAAATAAAAGTGATTTCACTATGTGTTTCACTGTGTCCATCCCGATTATGCTTGACATTTTTTGAATGTTAATCATACTTTACTGATCACGATTTTACTGTTTTTCTTAGAGTGAATTTTCCATCTCCTGTCACTGTGCTGAAAAGTAGATAAAAAAGTCTGTAGTGAGTTGACTGATTATTTAGGTTGTTGAAAGTAAAACAGACCAGGTATAGTATGCTGTCAAGTGAAAGACATAAGGAAAAGAAAATGTCCTTATTTTTTACTCCTAATGATAATAGATATTACAGAGCAGTAAGCGAGCATGTTTTGGTCCTAAGAAAACTGTGTTACATCAAATGCCATCGTACTTCCATTACTGAGTTTGCGTTGGAAATTTAGGGTTAGGATGATGCTATTTTCTTTTTAGTAATGATTTTAATAATTTCACTGGTCACTTCTTTTCGGTGGCTATGGCTTTGCTCCTGAGTAAGATACTTTTTTAGGAGGCACTATTTTAATATGCTTCCTTACATGTGTTTTTTCACAATAAAATCTACTTAAATCCATATTTAATGAAGAAAAATACTGCTTGCCTAAATAGACTAGCATGCTAGAAATCAGAATGATTTTCGTATACTTGGAAATGCCTTGTATTGTAATAAGTTTAACTCCTCTGTCAAATTACAGGTATTGGGTTACATACAATGAGTGGTGCTACAGCTGGACCAGGGCCTACTCCAGGGATGACTGGACACACAGCTGCCATTGCCCCTAAAACTTGGACTGAAGGTATAGTGGAGTATAATACTAATTTTATGTCGTGTACAGAGTTATGGTTAAACAGTGTGGGTAGAGTTTGTGGAAAAGATGCAGGACAGAAAAAAAGAGAAGGTAAAAAGGCATGCAGAAAATTAGTGTAACTTTTACTGAGTCTAACCGTTTATTCGTCCATGAGTGACTTGACCACCTGAAATTACTGCAATTGTTAGGCAGCCTGAACATGAAGCACCTTTTTACAATCAGAATGAAATAGGTAAGCTGCCTGAGGGACACCCGTAAAATCTACTTAACAAGTTACGTTCTGAGCACACTTAATTGCCTGCTCTTTCAACTATCGTCCTGGCTACTGTAGACAAAAATTTTCAAACCATGGTAGAATTACACTGCCTTTTTTTTTTTTTTTTTGTAATTTAGATTGCTTTGAAAATTTAGTCCAGTCTTTGAGATCTAATGAACAGCGTAACTTTTTTTCCTCTGTGTGGGAATCAGGTTTTGAACCAAATGATTCAGATTTGAGTTTACAGGCGGATTTTGTTTTTTGGAAGTAAAGTGGAAGAAGTATTGTACTGAAAAGAATTAGAAATTCCTAGTAATATATATTGTTCGAAGTCTTGGCTTTGTTTAAGATGTAAAAATAAATACAATATTGCAGGCTTGCAAATAACATAAGCTTCTCATACTATAGAAATGTAATGCTATGTTTTTGCTTGTGGGTGAATCTGGGGACAATGATGACTCATGATAGTTGATATAAAAAGTTCTCTGTCATTAGTCAGCTACTTAAGCCAACATAAAAAGAAAATGAAATACTAGTATGTAATCAGATGTAGAATTGCTTTTCTTGGACTACTCGAGCGAATACGCACAATTTGAGTAGGATAATAAAGAAGGGGAGAAGTGTTTCTTGAGGGGTTGTGTGTATGAGTTTACCAGGCACAGTGCCTCCTAGCTCAAATGCTGCTACTGCAAAATGCTGGCAGGTTTACAGAATTACTAGATGAGTAGTTTTATCTAAATAATCCAGTATGTCATAGTAATATGTCTGTCCTGTTTAACTATAAACTGCTTACTGTTTGTATTTTTTCATGCTGTTTTTTTAAGAAGAAAAAAATTGTCTGATCTTACTCTGTCTGTCTGGAGGTTTCACTTGATGTGTTTTTAAAAATTGTGGTTATTTCTTTGAACTTATTTTTCATTAATTACACAGTCATTTGTGTCGTGTTTTACGGTTCGATTTGCATGATTCCCTGAAAACTGAGGCTACACAGCGGCTTTCAGTGGCCTTGCTTTCTTTCCTTACTTTTCATAAGCTGAAATGCAGTGTTGCTAAATACAGAATCTACAGCTTGTGCTTAAGTTCCTTTTCTGGAGTTTGATGCAGATATGAGAATGAAAGGTGATCTCTGAAGGAATCCTTTTATCTAGATTGCAGGATGTTGGGTTTGAATTAAGGTTGATTACAAGATTGCAGGTGTACTTTGGAGTTGTTATTCCTAGCATGAAATTACTATGATTCCTCAGAAACTAATTGACATCTTTATTGTCGCAATGTCTGTTGTCACTGACAATTTGTGAACGCCTGAAGGCATGGGTTGACTTGTTGTCATAATGGCATACTGAAATCTGTGACCCTTGGTATTTGAAACACTTAAATACAATTAATAGGAGATCATAATGAAACAAAAGCTATTTATGTATGACAAGTACTTCTAAGTGCAGTTGTAGAAATTTTAATGTGGCTATCTAGTTCTGATAGAGCTCTAAAAGCAGACCTACCTACACTTGCAGAAAATCAGTTCTTCAGCTGTTTTACTTCTTCTAATGCTAGAATTAAAAATCAGCAGGATTGGGAAAAGAAATAGCATTCATCATAAAGCTTCAGGTGTTTTGTTTTCCTTTGGACCACTTCCTGTGATGTGTGGTACGCTTGCGTTTTAATTTGTTTTTCTTTAAACATGAAGCGTAGTCTATCTTAGCATGCTTTTTCTGGTAATTTTGAACGTGATTTTCTTCCTGTGTTCCGTGTTTCATGTTATGAATAAGTACTTTTTGTGATTCAGGCCAAGCCCCAGATATGAGTGTCTCCAGTGCGCAGCAAAAGCTTCCCGCGCCACCCCCCAGTGGGAGGCCTTCTCCTGCCCCCACTGCTGCCCAGCCTGCTGCTGCCATGCCTGGGCCTTCTGTACCACAGCCACCACCTGGACAGCCTTCACCCATTGTTCAGCTGCAGCAAAAGCAGAATCGCATCAGCCCCATCCAGAAGCCACAAGGACTGGATCCTGTTGAAATACTTCAGGAACGCGAATATAGGTAAGAGCAAATAAGAAGATGCAAATGCGTATGAAGATTGTTGTTTTTCACTTTCTCAACTGAAACTCCTTGCAGTCAGCTACTGTAGTGATAGTAGCATAAACTGAGTTTCCAGAGAGAGAGCATGTCAAAGAGAAGTACAGAGATGTCAGACCAAACAAAGGTTTAATTCTACCCGAAGTGATGAACTAGTAAAGCATACTGGCAATATTGTTGCAAACCAGGTGAGTTTAAAACAGGCTCAAGGACTCTGCTGGGTTAGTGTGTTGCTTGAATGCTGCCAACGCTGAAAGTTAGAAAATCAAAATCCTTGTAGTCTACAGAGAAACCAGTTCAGTGCAGAATTTTTTTTGTTTTTAGAATCTATAAACAAAAGGGAAGTTAGAACAGTGGAGGTCAAAGGCTGTTGAGTTAGTGGCCACAGCAAAAACAGTTTTATTAATGATGATGAGGTTAGCTGGACTACCAAAGAGTGCAGAGAATGTTAAGGAGGTCACAGGCAAGATTAAAAAAAAAAAGGTTACCCAGAGGCATGATCTTTAAAAGTTGCCTCCTGAGTGCCCTAATTAATTGGTGAATTGTATTCATTACAAAGTGTAGAGGATGACATCTCTTGTGCGGTTAGAAAAAGACTTCTTCCCTTTTCCCATCAGCAAGGCTATTAAGCAGTTGACCTTGAGAATCTGCCAGGCAGAAGGATCTTGACCTGTACCTGAAATATGTTCCTGATATATATCAGTCAGAGGAAAGAAACTGAACTTAGTGTATTTGCTTGTTTTGGACTGATGATGCATCTTCGAGTTACTGTAGCAATGAGTTTGTAGGGGAGGGTAGCCAAAAGGGGTGGTGATCTCACTGAAGACTGGTTTAATGACTTTTGCTTTACGAAGGTAAAACACCGTGAAGTGTTTTAGGATGTGGTGCCATGTCCAGAATCCAGGCCTTAATCCTAGAGAAGCTTGAACTTTTCACATAAGATAGTGCTTAAGTGATTTTTTGGCATGTTGTTGTGGTCATTCTGTCAAGTCTTACCCTCGATACCTTAGGACTGAATGGCCATAGCTGTCCGGCGTAAGCAATCACTATTTTCTGGCATCTTTTTCAGAAACCTTCTAGAACACACCATTATACGATTTCACAGTTGCTCTGAGTGCAGAATTGTAGCACTAACCTCATTCAAGAATCATATGGCCAATATAACGTAAGCTGTCCTGCATCAGTTATCCTCAAATTGTTACTCTTCTGTCTTTCAAGCCCACCTCCAGTGCACTATTTGTGCAATGTATAGGCAGGTTTAATACAGAAACATGATGTGTTCACACTTTCTTCATAAAAAGGGAGTAAAGATCATCTAGTTCAGGTATTTTAGGGATTCATATTTCAAACATATAGATAGACCCAAGAGGTAAAATTTTGGTATACTGCCTTATTGTGGGAAAGTGTGAGCTTTAAATATGATGAAGTTAGGAATTCTTGAAAGTTACAGGTTGAGTTTGGTCAGTAAGTGTACTGGTTTTGACTGGAATAGAGTTAATTTTCTACAAAGTAGCTCATATGGGGCTATGTTTTGGATTTATGCTGGAAATAGTGTTGATAAGACACTGATGTTTTCATTGTTGCTGAGCAGTGCTTACACAGTCAAGGCCTTTTCTGTTCCTCACACCACCCCGCCAGTGAGTAGGCTGGGGGTGCATGAAAAGCTGGGAGGGGACACAGTTGGAACAGCTGACCCCAACTGACCAAAGGGATATTCCATACCGCATGATGTCATTGTGCTCAGCAATAAAACACGGGGAGATTGGTGAGGGCCTGCTGCTCGGGGACTGGCTGGGCATCGGTCAGTTGGTGGTAAGCAGTTGTTTTCATTTGCATCGTTTGTCTTTCTCGGGTTTTATTTTCCTCTCTCTTTGTTATTTTTCCCTCTGTTTTCCTTATTAAAAATATGTATATTTTTTTAATTATTAAACTGTTTCTGTCTCAACCCATGAGTTTCTTTCTCAGTTTCAGCCTTCCAATTCTTCCTGCATCCCACTGTGGAGGGGGGAAAGTGAGGGTGCGACTGTCTGGTGCTTAGTTGATGGCCGAGGTTAAACCACAACAGTGACCTTGAACATGGTGTTTCTGGACTAAAGATTCTGCAAAATGTCCTGCCGGGAGGACAGGAATTTAGTACTAGTTCATGAGCTACATGATAAAAATTAATTGCTGAAGTGTTCAGCTATTTCTCTTATTACATACCCGCATCAAGTGCATAACAGCAGACTTTTGGGGGTCAATATAAGCTGCTGCTTATTTCCATTTCTTAATGGGTCATGTACATGATTTATGCATTAGAGCATGTCTTAAACACAGAACAATATTATAAACATGAGATACTTCAGGTTTTGCTGTTACAAGATTACTTTTTTTTTTTCACTGAGAGCAGTTCTTTTTTCCTTTCTTGTAACAAGGAGGTTACATAGTTTGTTTCATCACACAATTACTCAAATAGGCACTTTGAAGTACAATAGTAGTGTTCCTATTCATTAGCCACGTGTTACATAGACCAGTACAGATGGAGAAGCGGTAATGCACCTATTAACATACTGTGAGATCTGAAAAAGCTTTGAATCTAATGAAACATCAGCAGACTACTTTTTCTCCCTGAAAAGCCATGATCTGATTATAGAAAAGACTCCATATTAACAAAGAGAAAGAAAACAAAGAATTAATGTTGCTGTCAAATTTCACGTGGTTGTGCCGAGAAGCTATTTGCAGCGTATGTTGATTTGAGATGAGATTATATGATAATAGTTGTTAATCTCTGTGTGACTAAAGGTAGATAAAAAGAAACTTAGATATTTAAAATTCTATTACCAAACATAAGGAGTTTCAATTATTCGTATGTGGAGAGCTGTTAAACGTGTTGTGTTCCTTGAAATCTGGCCAGAATGAGAAGTTCATAATGTGTTTTTATAAAACTCTCCTTAGCACTTTCTTCAAAATAAAGTGCTGCTTTTTAATCTCACTGGATAGCTCTCTTAAAGCTAATAATGTGTGCAGTTTAAAGTTGTTCTATTATGTAGAAGGGCTTTTTTCCAACTTCTCACTGCTAATTAAAAAAAAAAAATACGCTTTCTAGTGTCGTGTAGATTGTCTGGGGTTTCTTTCTGTTATCTGCAAAGTCTCTTCTCATGTATCTTTATGGCTTACTGCATGACATCCATGCCAGGCAAGTTGGAATGTGCAAGCATAACCTCCGCTGTTGATGCCGGTTAATGAGGAAGAGGTGTGCATCACTTGTTTTGCACTGTGGAGATGTAGTAGCCACTTTCGGCATGGATGAAGATAAATTGCTGGACTGTGAAGACTAATTAAATACATCTTTTAAATGGTCAGATTATATCCTTCAAGTGCTTATAAAAAGCAGCTAGGAATCTTTTTTCTTTGGAGTCTTTTTACCTAATAGCTATTAGTGTTTTTCTGTGAAGATATCGATAGTCCAGCAAACTGCAGTCATTTTCTTTAAAGACTAGAAGGTGGCTGTGGTGAGAAACACCTCAAGTAGTTGTGGCTTTCAGTTGAGTTGGGATGTCTGTCATGAAATTCTTTTAAAAATCCTACGGACTACTCAAGGAAATATTACTACTGTTGCCACTACTGCTACTACCCTAGGCAATATAATTAGTACTTTAGGAAAGTCTGAAATAAAATGGCGTCAAAGTATGTTCCTTTCTTTTGTGTTATATGTAGTCCATCTGGCTGCTATTTTCCATTAGTGTTTAAACTTTTTTGACTGGAAGTTTATTTCAGTAGAGAACAGACCTGTGTTTCAGTGAGAGGTTTCTGAGGTAGTATCTGTACTGACTTAGAAATGCTGTTGTTTTTTTTCCTATTCCTTCCCTCTGGCTGGGTTATAAAAGAAGGGTAATCACCCACAGAAGTGTAGAAGTGTCATTGTTTGTAAGCTTTTTGCAGACCTCTGTTTTTGCAGTCATTTCAACATGCGGAAGAAAAAAAATTGGAGGAAAAATTATCCTGGAAATGATAATTTGCCTTATAATTTAACGATAAAATTTCATGTGCATTTATTTCTGATCAACCTTTTTATAAACCTGGTTTGAGAAAAGCAAAGGAAATGATCAACAGTGTGAAGAGTCTTTTATATGGAGTTAGACTGCTTAGTGTGATGATGGGACATAATAAGCATACTCTATAAGCTTGCATTAGGTTTAGTCATATCTCAAAAAAGTTGTATATTTGGGTTTTTATTAATAATTTAGACAACAGAAATGTAGACCCCAGCCCAACTTTGGCTCTTGCTTGAATTTCTGAAACTGTGTAAACTTTAAACATCAGCAGGCACTTTCACCTATTCTACACCTGGAGTTAAAAGTAACAAGCCAATCTGGCAGGACTAATAAGTAAACATTTCATTTCATTTCACTTCATGTTTATTTGCAAAGTGATTAATCCACTTAGTCGTCTAAAACCATAAGCTATGTTAGGAAGAACCTAGATTAACTTTTTGTGCTTGTCTTTTGTACAGTACAAGAAGGAACACTCAATGCTAAAAAAAAAAGAAAAAAAATATTTTCAGTATTCAGCTGCCTTTCTAAGCTCACAGCTCAAAAGAGAAGTTTGGGTGGGTTGTGACTGTTCCCTTACATTTTCATTAAAGTCAGTGAAACTGGGATTTCACTGTAAATTTTTGTGGGCGATGGTTTCAGAAGAAGCATTGCAGCTATTTGGGGAGTGAAATAGAATAATAAATCATACTTGTGATGCACGATTACATCCATGTGTGAATAAGCAACAAGCAGACCACCCATCAGTGATTTAGAACATATTCTCTTTGTACATCTTGGCTGCTTTTTTGTATGGATGTACAATAGTACATCTAATCTCCAAGAAAACCACTTAATTCTCAAGATTTTGCATCCTTCGTGCACTAAAATCTCTTCTTAATAACTGGAATGCCCAATGACAGGTGAAGTTGTACAAAATGTGGACATTTTTTG